AGTGGTAATGATGGTGGCGATGATGTTGATGTTATTGTTGATGATGATATTGTTGTTGTTGTTGTTGATGATGATATTGTTGTTGTTGTTGTTGATGATGATATTGTTGTTGTTGATGATGATGTTGTAAGCATGGTTGTGATGATGCTTTGAGGCATTGTTGATTGTGTTGAATGTCTTGCCAATGAATCAATTCTCGAATCTTATTAATGTTTCTTATTTTGTCGTCGTTGTTTTGTTTGTTTTGTTCGTAATTTATGTTGTTGTTCAGGGTGTTGTTGTTTGGTTTGTTGTTTATGTCGTTGCTCATTACGTTGTTTTTGTTTAGTTGGTTTATTGTTCATGTTGTTGTTTATGGCGTTGTTTTTGTTTGTTTGTTTGTTATTTTCTGATTGTTTATGTTATGTTAGTATGTATACTGCTGGTTGTGTTGTTACATTGCAGTAATAAATTGTAATAATTTTCAATATAAATAGCATTGGAATTAGTTGGGAATGTATTATAAAGTTTTCTTCCATAATTATCTCGTAAAATTCTTACGTTATGAAGATTTAAAAGTCATTGTTTGGGTGTTAAAATATTTCTGTTTCAGTTCTAATTCATTTCCAGCATCGTCAAACGGTACAAAATCATTTCCAACAAATATGACGTCATTATTAGCAACCAATCAGGGACAGAAGTACAAATCTTATCATCACCAGTTGCGTGTAGAAACAACTCCTCTGGCCCTTCAAGTACCTATCTAGGTCATGTTCATATGATGATGCTGGATGATGGGGTGACGATTGTTTGTGGTGATGACTGAATGATGAAATCGGATGAAACATTGAAATAAATAGCGGCTGTCAGAGTTGCATTTCGATATTAAATGCCCTAACGCAAGGTCCTCCCACGATTAATGATCTGACCGGCTGGCTGTCCGCGTGAATAAATTTGAATATCAACCAGTAAAGTTTTTAATTTTCTCAAATCGTAAAGTCAGATGATGTTTACATCTTCAAGTCGTACAATATTTTTTCAACTAAATATTTCCGGCTTACAAATTTATTTAAGTTAAAAACAAGGAATGCAGTAGAGACTTGAAGTTAATTCATGATTTAACAAAATAACGGATTAATTTGGTTTTGAATGTTGACATGCCAACATTTACGAAGGCAGACTCACTCGCTGGGAGTTCGGCTGCTAGGCCAGTCAGTCAAGGCAACGCTTGACCACTAAATAATTGAATTTTAGTTTGGACGATTTTGAGTTGAATGAGTGTGAGTGGTGTTGCTGTTTGTGACTTGTTTCAATCTGATTGTGCTGCTAGCTGCTGTCAGCACTGCACGATATTTATGCATTCATTGATCGGTTGAGCTTCGGCATGGATGGATTCGGTGTAGCTCTACTTATCCAATACATTCCAAGTATGAATGCAACTTGAATTCATCTCCTCTTTAATAAATACATAAAGTCGTGTTTGCATATACAACCAAACACTTGCACAACCACAACAGTTAACACTCGCTTGTTTTCAAAATTTGGGACCAGCGCGATGAACGTCTTTGGAACTTCAGTGTACAAGTACACTGCAGCACTTGAACCAGACGAGCTCGTAATGCCGCGTGATGCAACCGAAACGTGCACAATCGCTACGTACTGCACTGTACACCTTTGCAATATGCAGTCCGATAACAACTTAATATAAATATAAAGAACCGCATCACATGATGCTAACGTTCATGCTCGCGTAAGTCAGCTGGTGATGCTGCACTGTTTTTATTGTCAGTAATAATGCTTGCTTCATGTTGATTTAGTGTGAAGGATTGCTTTGTTGGGCTTCTCAGCGTTTCTACGCTCGTTTCCTCATCATCTCGCCATCATTTCCTCACCATCTCATCACCATCTCATCACCATCTCATCACCATCTCATCACCATCTCATCACCATCTCGTCACCATCTCGTCATCATCTCGTCATCATTTCGTCATTATAATTTTTGTTTACATTTGCATCAAATCAGTTTTTGGTGAACATGGCTAATACGCATGCACTGCGCACTATTCAACAAACACTAAATGAAGCACGCACACACACACACACACACACACATATGCACACCTACACTTTTTCAGATACAAACTCTCTCTCTCTTTCTCTCTCTTTTCATTTATTTACACACAAACACACACACACACACACACACACATTCATACACACAAACATGCACATATGCATACTCGCACACATACATCAGGCACAAACTCGTGCATATGGTTGAAGCTGCTGCATCAGCATCAGTGGTATCCAGTTGCAAGAAGGAGCATTTCCACGAGCAGTCCCGCAATCGCATAACTTAAAGGAAAGACGAAAAATTATTGGTGATTCAGCGTAAAATAAAAAAAAAATCTTGTTTTATTTTCGGTCTTTTGTTTATTTACATTTCCGGCGGAAGAAAATATGTGGTGGGGATGTTTATGAGAAACTTGAAAACATGTGTTGATGACGATTACGTCAGTAATGACGATGATATGATGTTGATAGTAATGATGGTGATAGTGATAATGATGATGATGGTGAAGATGGTGATGATGATAATGGTGATGGTGATGATGGTGATGATGAAATGATGGAGATTCGCTCTTAGGAGGTAAGACGTGATGACGCTAGTTGGAAATGGAGGAAGTACGTTTGCAACAATAGTGGCAATGAGACTGATGAGGCTGATGATGAGGATGACTGATTTAGTTGATGATAATGACAATAATATTATCATTGTGATGTTAATTAGAGTGATTAAATAACTGCAATTAAAAATTATTATTTTTCAAAAGAGACTGATGATGAAGATGATGGTGGTTGTAGAAAAGATGATGATGTCTAAAAAGATAGGAATGATGATGGTGATGGAAAGGATGATAACATCAGAGAAGATAATGATGATAATAACATGGAAAAAATGACGTCATAAATTATGATTACGATGGCGATGATGGTAATGGTGACGATGATTTCTGAAGAGATGGAGATGAAAGTGACGATGATGATGATGATGATGACGATGATGATGATAAGCACATTGGTAACATATATCCAAGGTTGATAATAGGCGGAGTGATGGCGTTCGTGATGATTCCAACAATCTCAGCTGTCCTGGTAACCATGGCAATAAACAATACTTAGTGCAAAAAAGGGGAGAAAATATCGGCGAGAGTCTCTCGTCCTTCGCAGAGAAAATAAAAATTTATATCGTTTTTATCAATAAAATTATGGTTTATAAATCTTTTTAAAAATTTAAACTGCTTAACATCGGAAAATAAAATTCCGACTCGATCATAAACTTTGATCTGTTAAGTGTTCCTCCAGTGCGTGTTCTCCTCCTCGCCTCACTTTATGATCTCCTAAAGCCATCCAGGCTCTTTGCTACGTAGTCCTCTACACTCACTCCTGCTTGTGTTTCTGTTTGTGCCACTTTCACTGAGTGCTCCTGCTGGCATCTCTTCTATTGCTCGTGCGTGCGAGCCATGGTGCTTGTATTATTTTTGATTTAAGTGTGCTAATTCAAACCGCGGGCCAATCAACTTTGCCGATTTTTTCAGCAAGTTTCAGAGGAATAGTTATGGATTTGTGAAAAATTTGACATTTATGGCTCTGTGATATTTGATGTGTTTGTTGGTTGTCATTTGAATCTGTATTTATTAATAATTAATATAAAATTTAGTATTTTAAAAGCATTTACCATGACGTGTACACGGAGATATAAAAAGTGCAAGATGGGTGAGGCTGGCACGTCTCATTATTTGAACATGTGAACAAGTTTATTTATATGTCTATAATGCTAATTCAAGTACTGACTGCTTTTTTTATGATCGTTCGTTTCGTTGCAAAAAGATTGAAATTAAAAATAATAACATCCTAACTCATAAGTTGGTGTTGAATGATGAACAACAAATACATGGCACCAAACAACAACAACAACAACAACAACAACAACAACAACAACAACAACAACAACAACAACAACAACAACAACAACAACTAGGCTTCGTTGCTTCGAAAAACCAACTAACACAAAAAATAAACGTATGATGCATACGTAACGTACAAGAATGCTACAGGATAGAAACACGGAGAGTAAAAGGAACGTGAAGAACAAGAAGAACATGGAAAACAAGAAGAACATTGAGAACAAGAAGAACATGGAGAAGAAATCACGTACAGTTAGGATTGGGCATATAAAAAACTAATTGAAAAAATCTGCCCACACACACACATATATACTGTTCGTAATGTGTATATTGTATATGCAAAAACATATCTAAACAAACACGTATGCTTACTTGAGCATGTTCAAGTTCATACTGGAATGAAACTTATAGATTCATATACGTATGTGTGTGTTTTGTTGAATTCATGTATGTATGAAAGCATAGCATGTACTTAAGGGTGTTGAGGTGTGTACACAGACAGACTGAATGAAAGCTTTGTGGGTGATAGATGCTTTCTTATTTGGATCACCGACAATGCATGTTATTTCTGAAATAATTGGATCGAATGAACAATTTTTTTACTTCATCTACATCCTTCCAGGAAAATTCTGATTAAACAAATTTACTTTCGCAATTTTTTGTTTTTTTGTCCGCCAAAATGTTGTTGAGGTTTATATTACTGATAACTAACTAGTTATTGTCACGAATGTTGTTGTCACAAACATTTTCGACGGAGCATCAAATTTGTTAGTTGTCGCTGAAGCATCTTGTCATCTTGTCTCAGCAGTATGTTATAAGTCAAAAGAACGTAGATTGAAAAAAAATTATTCCCAGTTTAAAACTATGCACGCACGTCTTTATATACATATTTATTTTTCAAATGCGTGTGGGACTCTGCTTCGAAATTCTGTGCATGCATGCATGTACGTTCAGGTGAAATTTTATATGAATGTTTGTGTGTGTGTGTTTATATGTTTACATTTTGAATGTATGCGTAGTGTTCACATTAGCATGTTTGCATGATTTTAATGAATGGGCACGGTTCGAGAAGTTCTTCCCAACTTTTGTGGAACTCCAGCTCACCGGCCGATCGACGTGCCATTTATTTATTGTCCCTCTCCTTCAAGGTTTTGGTTTATGCATGCACACTATTTGTTCGGGTGTAGTTCTCTCCTTTCTTTCCATAATTATGCGTTTGCTGGATTTTACGTTAGGTTTTTATTTTGTATACACACGCATGCATGTATTTGTATATTAAGCATGCTTGTGTGTTTGCTTTGTGTGCGTATGTATATGAATGCACGTGTATGTGTATGCTTGCTGTGAATGTATGCGTATGCATTTGTATGTTTTAGTATGCATGCATGCGTTTGTCCGATTGTATTGAAGTTCACATGTTCATGCATTCGTGAACATGTTTGAAATGTCTAATGTTCAATGGAATTTTCTTAGCATACAAGAAACTCGTAGATGTTTGTGTATCAGGGCTCGTAAATTTCAGCGTGTGAGATGTAATTTTTTTGAACGGACAGCCGAAAAAGTTCGCCCATGCCTCACTCAATGAATGTGTTTGTGTGTGGAGTTCACTGCTCGCTCGTCTCTCCGGTTCAAACAATGCTTAACAGAAAGAAAAAATACACAAACAAACACTGCAAACACACACACAAACATAACACACACAACACTGCACACACACATAACACACACACACACACACAAACACACACACACACGTACACATATACATAGAGTTACATGGAGTACACGATTAAACACGAACGCACCACGACCTCACCCATGCACCATGCAGTGCGAACATCAAGGAAATCTAATTCTGAAAAAAATACAACGGATGATTATCTTATGATTATGTGACGATAATTAAAATAATTTGTTCAAATTTGTTCAAAATTCAAAAAGAGAATTTTTTCATGTTTGATAATTATTATTAACGCTTAACACACGTTTTCTCTCTCGTTTTAATTTAACTAATTTTGAAAAATATTCTTAAATTTAAGTTTAGTAGTATTAATTTTTGGTTAAAACAGAAAAATATCTAATTTTTAAGTTAATTTCTGTTAATTAATTTTGTAAATTTTGTTGCTTTTACGGAAAACCGGACCGGAGAATTTTGAAAAAGGGCTGCACGGACAATACATGCTGATGATTTATTGTGCTTTCTGTTTAACTTCAGAGTAGAAGCTGAAAATTTGAAAGTGTTGGAAAACATAAAACTACTCTACTCAGTCAAAGAATTAGTTAATTCAAAAAAATCTTTAATTAGTCATGTTGAAAGCCTGCTGGAAAGTGAAAAATTGAAACTTGTTCCTCATGGTAACACAAAGGACGCCGAAATACAGGAAATATTTCAAGTTATCGATTTTGTCTATTTGAATAAATTAGAATATAAATTACCTATTTATGCCGCGGTAAACTTAAAAAAAGTCCCATGCTTTGCTGCAGGTTTAAAACATAATGACGAAAACAGCAAAGATGAAAAAATCCAACAACAGCTACATGAAATAAAAGGACAGTTAAATACAGTCAGCTTAGGAATAAATAAACAGAATATGCTTTACTTGGCGGTGACAGCAAAAAATGTCAATCCTAAATTGAATGAGATTCAAAGTCCTCGTTCTCTTTCAAGAAATCCAGCTGTTCGGATGCAAATACCCCCAACTGCACAACATCATCAGCAACATCCCTCCTCATCATTAGGACCTCTTACTCATCAGCAACATCAGTCTCCATCAGCAATTCAACAAGAAAATCCTTTTTCAATTGTCTCGAAAAAGAAACGTCAAATTAAAAACATTAGAGGAACCAACAGCACTGGCATGTGTCCCAAATCAGCTGGGGCAATTGTTAAAAAAAAGTTTACTTTGTAAGTAATCTTGCTGACACAGTCAATAATGAAACTTTGACAGAATACTTGAAAACAAATAAATTTAAAGTAATCAGTTGTTTCGAGGCAAAGTCTTATCTGGGAAAAGGCTTCAGAATATGTATTGACATCAATAATTCAGATAGCACTTTCACAGATTCTGCTCTCTGGGATGAGGACACAATCATTCGTGAGTGGGTCTTCAAACCAAATAATAATATTGACAAAAAGAATAAAAATGAAATTAACATTGATGGTAAAAATGAAGTAACTTTAATAAATAAACAAAAACACGATGAATAACACACAAAGCAATAATAATATATCAGATAAACACCTCAGTAACAACGACTCAAATTATTACACTGTTGAGGAATTTTCTAAAAATATGTTAGAATTACAAAAGCATATCGGTAGTGATTTTATCTCAATATTACATTTAAATGATCGTAGTCTGTTTCACAAATTATTGAATCTGGAGATCTTGTTGAAACAATTTGATTTTATTTTCAAAATTATTGTAATATCTGAGAGTTGGTTAAACGATGAAACTGCTGATTTAATTAAATTAAATAATTACAATTTCGTATACAAGAATAGAAGAAATAGACGTGGAGGCGGTGTTGGAATGTTTATAAAAGATGATGTAAAATATGTTGTAAATGAAAGCAACATATTCGATGATGACAACGTTGACATACTTTGCGTGGTATTTGAATTGCATCAAGCCTCACTACATAACATGATCAAGATAATTGCCATCTATCGACCACCTAGTTATAAATATGAGTTTTTTTTAGAAAAAAATTGAATCGATACTAAATAGTCTAAATCCACTTGATAAAATTTTCATTGTCGGAGATTTTAACATTAATCTAATGGATAAAACCTCCAAAGATTTTCAAAATTTACTTTTGTCGCATTACTTCTTACCTTTGATTGATTTACCAACTAGGATAACTAATAACTCAATTTCACTAATAGATAATATATTTTTTAACTTAAATCAACAATGTTATAATGGAATAACAATATCAGACTTTTCAGATCATTATCCAATTTATACAGTTGTAGAAAATACAGGATTTGTCACTACAGATACTCTGACTGAAAAGGAACATAAATAAGAGAAACATTTCCCTAATTAAGGAAGCTCTATCTTCTGAAAAATGGGATTCAATAACGGATGAGAGTAACATTGGCACCTGTTGCATGAATTTTTATAATCAATTAAATAGAATTCTTGATATTTACGCCCCATTGCAACCGCTGAAACGGAAAAATAAAAAGCCATGGGTAAGTGATGAAATAATTAAATTATCAAAGAAACAGAATAAACTCTATAAAAAAACAATTTCAACACCTACTACAGAGAATATAAATAAATATAAGCGATTTAGAAATTATTTTACATCATTTAAACGAAAGGAAGAAAAAAATTACTTAAGTCAAAGGTTTAATGATGCAAAAAGCTGTTCAAAGAAAAAGTGGGAGATAATAAATGGTATAATGAATAAAAATCAACAGTTGAATGATATCAATAAAATAAAAGTCAACAATAACATAATCGATAATGCAGAAGAAATGTGTAACTGTTTCAATGAATATTTTATTAAAATTACTGAAAATTTGCTTGAAAATCAAACAGTTAATGAATCTTCAAAAATAAACAACTACATTTGTAAATCCATATACATAAACTCCACTGATGAACTTGAGGTATTAACAGTCGTCAAGAATCTTAGCAATAAAAAAGCACCTCTGATGACTCATTAAGTAATTATCTCTTAAAACAAATCATCTCAGAAATTGTACATTTAATAACACATATATTCAATTTGTCCATCAGTCAAAGAGTATTCCCAAAATGCTTCAAAACATCCAAGATAATACCTATTCATAAAAAAGGATCCAAGATGGAAATGAACAATTACAGACCAATATCCCTTCTCTCACCTATTTCTAAAGTACTGGAAAAAATTATATTTATCAGAATAACTTCATTCTTGAATATTAATAATTTATTAAATAAAAATCAATATGCATATAGAGCACAACATTCAACTGAACTAGCAGTACTACATTTAGTACAAAACATATTAAATAATCTGAATAAAAAATCCTAACCATAGGTGTTTTCATAGACCTGTCCAAAGCATTTGATGTTATTAATCATGAGATATTAATAAAGAAATTAAACTCCTATGGAATAAGAGGAATAGCACATACATGGTTCATAAGCTATCTGCAAAACAGAAATCAGTATGTGTCGATAAAAATTCAAATAAATTAAATATAACTTCAGGAGTCCCGCAAGGATCAATCTTAGGCCCACTTCTATTTATAATTTTTATGAATGATTTTCATCTGGCTACTGACGCTTATCATCTTCTGTATGCAGATGATACTAACATTTTCTTCCCAACTAGCAATCCATCAAACGATGTAGAGATAATTAATGAAAGTTTAGATGATGTTTCAAATTGGTTCATCAATAATAAACTAATTGTAAATTTTTCTAAATGCAACTACATTCTATTCGGTCCAAAAATATTGACTAACACAATACCTAATTTAGATATAAAAATGAATAACCATAGCATCCCGCGTACATCCAGCACAAAATTTCTCGGGGTGATAATCAAGGACAACCTCTCGTGGGATATGCATATAGACTCGTTATCGAAAAAAATTAATAAAACCATAGGCGTAATTAATAAAATTAAAGTAAGATTGAATAAACCAATAATTATAGATTTGTATTATTCATTAATCTATCCACATCTAATATACTGCAACATCATCTGGGGAAACAGTCCTGAAGTTCACTTGAAGCAAATTACCAGATGTCAAAATCGTTTCTTCAAAATTCTATTAAATCTACATCCATATAGTCATATCAGCTGTTATTATCCCTAACTGAAAATTTTAAACATAAAAAATTTGTATAATTATCATGTTTCTATCTTTGTGTTCAAGTTCCTACATTATCAATTACCAACATCTTTTAATGACTTCTTCGAATTCGGAAATGCTGTGCAGTCAAAGTTCACTCGACATTCTCCTCTGCTCGATACACCACCTGCAAGAATAACACTGCTTGGTGGAAGTTTAAAACATACCGGTCCCGGAATCTGGGAGAAACTTCCTGTTGATATAAAGACTACAAATTCCTTGCATTTGTTTAATAACAAAATAAAAAAATATTTATTGAAAAAAAGTACAATTTTTATTTAATTAGAATCATGTAAATTGTGCATTATGTTAATTTTGTCATGAATTATAAATTTACTTAAAAATTGTGTTAGAATGAACAATTTGTGAACGGTGGCCTGCGACACAAGAATTTTGTTTTCTTTTAACTTTGGTCTCCTAATCATTACCTAATTATTATTAATTTGGATCGATTGAATAAATTTGATTTTATGGGAAAAGCTTCGTTTTGTTGTTTTGTTCAATTATTTTATTTAATAAAAATTATTTAATATTTTTAATCCCTGCAAACCCTGGATTTCAGCAACGACAAATGATGCATTTGCGTCAACTTTCTTGTCATTAAACTATGAATTTCTAACAAAATCTAGTTGGAGTATGGAGAATGAAAGAAAATAAAAAGCTAGTAGATATTTCACACCGTTTTTTTGCGTTCCTGATAAACTTGCGCCCTGCTAGGTGCATCATTTAAGATGAACGAACTGATGTGTGTGTGTCTTGCTGAACTTGATGATGTTAACAACGCGAACAAACGAATATTTTGGAAGCGTAAAACTGCGAGTTGTTTATTCGTGATGGATGTTTTGTGTTTCATTTTTTTTTGTAGATATTTCTAGCTGCAATTTATTCCATTCGCGACATTTGACATTCATTTTATTTGTTTCTAGCTGGAGAAATCTGCAAAGAATTCATAATTTGTTACTGACTGCTCTGGCTTTCTTATTGGTTTGTTTGTTTGTTTGTTGGTTTGTAACTTTTTTAACAAACACAAAATGAAAATTATTACTTTTTGCATAAATGGGAATAATCATTAGTATCGTCATCTGTATCTTCATCTGTATCAACATTTGTATCATTATTGTATTTCCATCGGTATCTTTATTTGTACCATCATTTGTATATTCATTTGTACCTATATCATTATTATTTTTATTTTCATCGGTATCTTCATTTGTATCATCATCCTATCATCATTTGTATCAAGTTTGGTTAGTTTCTGAAGCAGGCCTTTAATTTCCACACTTTAATTTTAGCTATGGGGTTCATAGTTGTTTTCATCTTAATTATTCATTATTAGCTCTATTAATATAATAATAATTATAATTATATTAATATTAATAATACCAAAAATAGTAGTATTAGTAGTATTAGTAGTTGAAGTAATGCAGTATCAAAAATATCAAAAAGTGCATGTTTATGACGATGGTGATGGTTATAATTCTTCTTTTTTTTTCTTCTTCTTTTTATTATTATTATTATTATTATCATCATTATTATTATCATTATTATCATTATTATTATTATTATCATCATCATCATCATCAGCCCTTATCTTCCTTCCCCTCCCAGTCAGATATGATTGATTGGTTTATTCCTGGGACTGATTGATTTTTTTCATAAATAGAGATTCTTATTTGTTACGACTTTATGCTGCTTTTGTTATTATTATTATTATTATTATTGTTATTATTATTATTATTATTCTTTAAACTGTTCGTTTAAAACTAATCATATCTCGTTGTACTCGTTTATTTGAGCATCGTAGAATACTATTGTATTTAATTTAATTTAAATCAATTTATCTATTTTATTTTATTAGATTTTAATTAGACTTTTATCTCATTTTACTATATTTCATATTTTTCTAGAAATAAAAGAGAGTTCACATTAATATTATTATTATTATCATTATTATTACTATTATTAATATTATAGCTGTTGTTAATATTATGTTGTTGTTGTTGCTGTTGATGATGTTTGTGTTATTTCAACAATCTTGTTATTGCTGTT